CACGAGGGTTTACTCCATGAAGAAGAACTTGCCATAAGACGAGCACTCCAAGCATCCTTGACTGCCTCAAAGACAAAGACACCTGAGACTTACAAGAATAGCCCACCAATACATCACAAAAACAACAAAATTARCAAAGTTCGCAGACTGAACAATGATGACAACCATTTGACTGATAATAAACTTCAAAATAATAGAAAAACAAGACCAAAACTTATTAGCCCAGATAGTCCACATGCAACTGTCAAGAAAAGACCCAAGATGATAAATGATGATTCTCCATCCTCAAGATCACGAAGTTCCTCTGCTCAGTCGTCAGACAGTGTTAACACCACAAGTTCAAACTCCAAGATGGTATCTTCAGCAAGCTCACAAACTCAGCAAAAATGCACTAAAATTGTTAAGTCTCCTCTTAAGTCACCAAAAAAGGAGAAACTTGGCGTGAGGGTAAGGAAGAAAATGATGAAAAAGAARTTCAAGGMTGCAAAACATGGTAGTGACTGTGAAAGCACAATGTCAGGTTCAACTGTAAACGAAGTAGCTTCTTTGAAAAAGACAAGAACAAGAAAGAGGTATGATTCTCTTATAATATATGATTTTCTTATATATTCAATACCTTTCTACTTCAGAAATATAATACTACAGTAAGAGACCATCTTACAGTATTGTTTCCAAGAAAAGTTGTAGAAAAAGGACAGATTATTTAATTTGGCAATTCATTTTTTCAGAAAAAGGAATCCAACTTTTGTCCAGAAAAAGTTTGCATCAGTAACACCATCTCCATCCAAAATGTAAGATTAATTTCCATTTTATAGCCYACATTTAGGGGCACAAACTTTTTCTAAGGATGATTGCGGAAATACATGTAATGTTTTGACATTTTTATTATATTAATATCTATTATTTGCTTGTATAACCCTGTTTATCTTGATTATGGTACCTATACCAGGTCTGTGTCCACTGTCGAGATAGATAGTACAGTACCACTAGCTAAAGCAGAAGATTTTATTGATTTTCTTTGTTTAAGAGGTAAGGTGTACTTTATAATTCATTATAAACAAAAAAATCATCCTCAATCAAATATCTTTACATAATATTATTGCTGTTTAGGTCATCCGCAAATGCCAAAAGACTTAGAGTTCTTTAATAACCCTAATAACTCACCGTTGTGTGATGACGACTTCCCAACTAGTCCTCCGTCTTCATCGTTATCAGAGCTGCCATCATCACCTTCACCATCACTACCTACTGTAACATCAGTTGACTCACCATCCTGTGAAACACCAACCTTTGATCCATTGATTGGTTGTGATGATGAACTACATGCTATGAGRATGTATGCTGGTGTTGAAAACAAACGCAATGCTGTCGATGAGCAAACAAGCTTCAAGCAAGAAATAACTGTATCTGATCTTGAACATGAAGAGGTTAAGATTGATTATAATCTACACATTTAATAATATTTGTAGTACAATTTTGTTAAATGATTTTGATTAAWATCAATTCAAATTTACACATAACAAGGTACTTCTTGTAGATAATTTTTGTGAATGAGGGAAAAAGCAAAGTGTCCAAAAAGACACCAAGAAAGCTCACTAACATTTATTTGTTATAGTTTATTTATATTYAGAATTGTGTATGTATTAATAAACTCAGTTCATTTTTTTTCTAAGGAACCTTTCAAGAATGCCAAACCTGTCACTCCACCCCTATCATTCAGAGTTTCACCACGTCCAGCACCCCCCTTGCCCAATGGAAACWGCTTGAGTGGATCAAAAATCACTCCTTCCCCAGCTCCAGTAATGACCAAGACTTCATCATCAACTATCAACACAGATAATGTGTTTTACCCTACTCTTGACAGTCCTGCTTTTGGACCTCCTCCTTTAATGCTTGGTCAAGGAAAGGCTACTGGTCCAGGGGGGTGCTGCTCACCACCACCTTTGTTGTATATTCCTGCWGCTGCTCAAAGAGTAACTCATCTTCATGGTCCACCAAAGCTTGAGAGGGTCAATCCCATTTCTGATGGTACAACAACTATCAACAACGAACCACCACTTCTAGAACGCATTGACCAACCCCGTCCTGAAAATGTGAACAAACAGTCACAGCTCAATATTCAAAATAGAACAAGTAGTAGTTCACATGATGGATCCTCCATTAGGACAGCGGGAAATCAACAAATGAATAATCTGAAAGAGCATCTTTACATTGATCAATCATCATCTGCTGTTGTSTGCACTACGGCAAMTAACACTAAAACAAAACAATCTTCAATGGAAGATGTCTCGAAACARACTCCCATTGATAGCTACACCAGGAACACAAAGAGCTGTCCTTTACAYAATTCTAGTGATCTTTCTAGGTTGGAGCAAGCCAAAAATGTTCTYAATACTAATGCTAATGATCCATACACATCTGGTAGTCCAAAAACAAGGCCRTCAAGTCAAGGTGCAAATAGTAGTTTGTCCCATGTGGGATACAACACTAGAAGCCATGAGGYATGCTCWGTGGTAACACAAARTGAGATRGGTAGAATAGAGTCACCTGATTCAACCATTAGCCTAGGAACYAGTTCRTTACTTGAAAATCTTCAGAGGGCACATGATAGAGTAAGTGGTCTKATGTCACCATTAGAAACGTCCCCTTCAAAACTGCAGTCTTTCACTCATTCAGGACAAAATACTGTTATTCATGAAGCTGTCCAAATGAACCWTGCTTCTACATTATTACGAGAAAATAACCAGATACCAAACTCTCCAAGGATGCCACCACCTATCTCAGAACCGTTCACAGGTCATACAACAGGCAATGTGATGCCATTTGAGCCACCTAGTAGAGAAGCTCTAACTCCTCCTTGGTCCCATCTTCATGCTTCTTATGACAAGTCACCAACTCCTCCTAGACCATACACTTTATCAATCAACAGTTCTTATAACCCTGGCAGTCAGAACCATGTGATTCCACGGACAATACCTCTTGTTCCTAAATTACCAATTGTTCCTTCAAATAAACACATTTCTGTTCCTTTCAATGAGAAATTGTTTTTGCACAAACCAGGAGTTAATCAAAGTTATAGTATACCAAGTGCCTTTGTAGACTCATCTCAAAAGTCAAATGTAGGATGCTTACCATCTTATCAAAGAGGAGTTAGTAATAGTGGTTTTGGTATAAACTTATCAGAACCGTATTCAATGGACAAGAATTATTATTCCACACAAAAAGCAAATGTGATATCCAGTGAAAATATCCCTGCACTCAACAGTGAAGTTTGTAGAGAAGACTCATCAAATGGTCAAGAGTTGCAAGTAATAGATAAACCATGCTTGGCAAATGACAGTAGAAATAATTCCACTAATGTTTTGACAAGCTCACAAAATTATAGTAAAACAAATTCTGAAGTCAAAAAACGAAGAGGAAGACCACCAGGATCAAAGAACAAGAAAACTATTGCCCTGCTTGACAAAAACAACAAGGAAAGYCCATCAAGTGCTGAYATTGTGACGAAAAATGAATCCAATGGAGCAAAAGAGACCGAGGGCACAAAATCTTCAAAGAAAAAGAAGATTGAATGTCCAATACTTCGTCCCACAGAAGAAGAATTCAAGGATCCCATGATATATTTGAAGTCTATACAATCTACACTAGAAAAGTTTGGTATATGCATCATTGATCCTCCAGATGGTTGGAAGGTAAGACTGAAGATCACTTGATAAATACAATGAACCTCTACATATACTGTAGGTAGAATTTGCCAACAACCATGCTTTTATTTAATGGTGCCTGTCATTTCATTTTCCCTTTCATCCACATCTGTTCCCATCCATCTATTCATCCGACTTTACCTTMATTTCTTCCAGTTACTCTTTTKYCCCATTGTTCTTTCTTACCTTTTCTTTCCCTTTTCCCATCAGGTACCGGTAAACTTCTTCTTACTCATCTTTTGTGTCATGTTACTCCATAAACTCAGTCTAAATTTCCCATTTCAATCCTGTCACATCCATTTTTTTCATTTTATTTCTGAGTTACCACTTGAAGTTTGTGAATTAAACTTGTTTTTTTTTAAGATGGAGAGTCATTTACCTGGTAATCCACGATTCACTACTAAACGTCAACTTATTCACAGATTACAGAAAAGGTACCTGTAGATGAGTGTCATGTTCTAACATTTTATRATGATTAATAATATAGTTTTATTTTTTATTGGAACTATGTTTGGACAAATAGCATTCTTATGATGGTTCAACTGATTGTTTAGGGGAAAATTTAAAATAAATTGTGATATGAGAAAACACCTGCTATGCTCGCACTGAATATTTTTTCTATTTACATTAGATGGGGTCCAAATGAGATCAAGTTGTGTTGTGTAGAAAAACACTTACAGCAGCAGCAGAGCACATTCAACCTTTCTCAAATGCCTGTAGTGAGTCTACTTTATGTATATACTGCRTATTGTTACATACMAGTGCCKTTATGGTCRGGTAGTTTTTAAGCAACATTCACAACTTTCCATACTCGGTRCTCGGGGTCAGTGACCATGAAGAAAGCATTGAACCRAGGCWTCAAGGTACACKGAGCATAAAAGAAAAAATMWGTGATCATTGTTCCTTGACGGCTCGGTTCAATGCTTTGTTCGTGGTCACTGAACCTGTGTATGGAAAGTCGTGAATGCATGTTTTGAAGGACGTTTTTTTTCTGAATTTTGACTTGATTTTTCAGGTTGGTGGATGTGATTTAGATTTAGCAGAAGTGTCAAGGGTTGTTATGGAGCACGGAGGAATGCAAAAGGTAACAACAACAACAGCAATTGCAGCTGCAGTAGCACCATCAACAATACTAACATGAGCAACATTTATAATATTACCACTGCTAACAACTGTGATTACTGTATTTACCTTCTCCTAGGTTATTGATACCAAGAGGTGGAATAAAGTTGCTGACTTGTTAAAAATTCCAAAATCTGTAAGCAAATAAATTTATAAGTTATCAACAAAATAATATTGATAAATAAATTTAGTATAATATACAATGATTTTTCTTTGCAGACACAGGATCGTGTTGGGAAAGTTCAAGATGCCTACTGCAAGTATCTACTATCGTTTGATATTCTTCCTGAGGTAAGAGCTATTTGTAAAGAGAAAATTCAATTTATKTAGCTCATTTATGGAACTTAAGATGGCATAAAGATATGTTAATGTTTTGCAGTATTTCACTAGTGTCTTTTATTATTGATGTTGTTGCAGTCAGAGAAAACGTCTTTGGAAAATGAAGTGAAAAGGGAAATAGATGAGAAAGGTAGGCAATCTGACACTTGCAGAACTGTTACAGAATTAGATAAAGACTAACATTTATCTGTTCCTTTTAGGAGAAAAGGAAGAATATCGAAGTCAATGCACTACAAAGGTACAATTAGCACTTGCTGAATAAGAAACGTTTTCAAGGCATAAAAAAGAATGAGCTTAAAGACTTTTTCTATCTGGTAGTTTTTAAAAGAGGTCATATTTGTCACTCACTCACTTGATCACTCACTTTCTTGTAAGCTAACCAGTTTTAACTTTTGCTAATTGAATGGTCACTTCTTCTTTTAGGGTCGTAGTTTTTCCATGGGTTGCTTTCAACGTACTGCAAGACATTTTCAGGATCATTTCTTCAAGACAGACCCATCGGTTAATGACATTGAGGTATGCATCACCAAACCGGTCAAGGCCTGTTCTATACCTGTTATTTCGAATTACAGTAAATACTCTATTTGTCATAMAAGGAGCAAAGATGAAAACTATTTTTTGGAACTTGGTATTGTGTATTGTGTTTGGTTGATACAACATTTGCAGATTTTTATAAATTAGAGTTGCTTCCGAAAAGGTGAAATTGGTTTAAACTTGATTAGTGACATATGGTACTTTTACAGAGAGAGTACTGGAAAATCGTGCAGTCACGTGACAAGTACGTAGCGGCTCACCATGTCAAACTCGACACCAAGGAACATGGCTCATGTTTTCCTACCAGTAAATCAGACCCTTACTCAAAGTAAGTCAATATGGGATTCCTGTGTTTTAATAACAGGGAAGAACTGCAACCTCATTCCTAGGTCCTTTGAAAAAAGCGAACATAGAAGCCCTGGGAACGAAGTTGGGGGCCGRAAGAGAGGAGAAGTCAATCAGGCTGATTTAATTATTACTAATTATTATAATTTAGAACATTTTCGTCACTATTTACCTTCTCCGCGTGTAACTGAGTATGACTGAAAATGTTTTATTTTTAAGGAATGGTTGGAATCTCAACGTCCTGGCACACCTCAAGGGATCAATACTAAAGCATGCTGGGAACGTACAAGGTACTTAGATAGWACACTAATTATGAAGGAACACTATCCATTTCATCTTATTTATTCCTTTTTTTTTTGTATTTTCCTTTTCAAAGATTTGACAGTCCCTTGGCTGAACATTGATATGCTTTTCWCCACAAAACGATGGACAACTTCTCCACTACAAACATACCTGATAGATTATTTACATTCATCCAACGACAAAGTCTGGTAGGTCTGCGTACGTACAATTRCCTTCTCAAGCGGACGTAGAAACCATAAAGCGAATTTCCACTTATCTTTTTCTATTGTTTAAAACTCACATTAACCTTTTTGCTGAATTTTTTCCGTAGGTATGGTGTACCAGAATCAGACATCGACAAGTTTCCCCATACAGAAAACGAAAACACAAACGACTATGAAGATGGAGAATTCATGGTAAGCAAATGTTGTATAGTTATTCAAGACAGGTTAATTCAGTTGTGGTTAAGATTGCTGAATTGAAATGTTCTCTAAATCAGGTGTCGCCTTCAAATTTGTCAAGAGAAACAGGATTGAATGTTACCAGACTCGAACAAAAGCAAGGACAATTCGTTGTTGTTTCGCCCAAGGTAAGTCTGATAAGTGGCTCTTTTTTTTCGCTTGTTTACTTCCTACATTTACTTCCTGGCTTTTCGTCAGGTCTATTAGCGCAAAAAAAGCACACAAAACTGAAAGTGGTGCATCAATTGATCATTTGTTGGTTTTGCCCTCGTAATTCAGCTCACTTTCGCTGCAAGTAGAGGATTATTCGAGCAAGGTGCACAAACCTTATTGTTGTTGTTGTTTGTGTTTCCAGGTATTCCATTGTTATGTCAGCAGTGGCTACTCCGTGTCAGAAACTGTTTGTTTCGCYTTTCCTGACTGGCTATTGAGATCGTCGACCATAGACTCAGTAAGAACTGCAATCAATGCTTTCCTCCTATCCTTTGAARATTGCGATAATTTTAAGTGAATTATATTGTTTGTTTCTTGTAATTCGATATTGTTTTTGTTATTTCTCTGAATGATTGTCTTCTTTTCAGGGTGTTTTCTTGAATTGGCCAGGTTTCTCATACGAAAAACTTCTTATAAAAAGTATAGATGAGGTGAGCGTTCAGAGTGTCGGCCTATCCTCTTTCTTTTATTAATCTTCAGAAATTTGTCATTCAGGTTTGCAGCACCGGAAGRAAAAATTTGGAATGTCTGCTTAGTGAGTTAACACGAATTAGGTAATTATTATTGCTTTATTTTAGAGTATATGCGGGCCGCCCATTAACTACCATTAACCTTTTTAGAGAAAACGAGGTAGCTTTAAGAAAAGAATTAAAAGAACTAGGTGTAACAGAGAGCACACCGACCAGTACGACGTCAAAAGGTAACGCATCTTCATTCCTTCCTCCTTCCTTTCCTCCCTCCCCCTCCCTCGTTCCTTCTTTCCTCCGTTCCTTTCTCCCTTCATCCTTCCTTCCTTTTCTCTCCTCCCACCCTCCTTCCCTCCCTCACTCCCTGGCTCTTTCCTAAAATCACCGTTTTTTCGTTTGAACGTTTCTTCTTGTTTTCCTTTACATTTCATCCCTTGTTTGTTTTTTTTTCTCCCATTTCTTTTCCCTGTCCTTTGTTACTTCGTTTTTCCCTTCACWCCATATCTTCATTTCTCTCTCCCTCAGGTATTTGCGACTTCTTGGTGGAATTTTAGTGAAGTTTTCTAATTTAAAATTGTCTGGCATTTTATTTAGGGCTCGTTGATTCATTKTCATTTTACATCATTMTTTTTGTCTYCCATAGGGATTCAGACAATAGAAACAGCCGAAGGCTCCGTCCAGGTTAACTCCCATTGCATGTCATGTGTGGTGTGTGATCGACTTTCTCATTTATCGACGGTAGGTATTGCTAGTAATGCCAAAAACGTACATTTGATTATCAGTTACTCTTGGCATAAGGTAATTTTATGATGCATTAAAATGACTGAGATACATTTATTCAATTTCAGGTTCTAAGTGAAGAAGATTCAGAAATACTCTGTCTACCTGACGCTATTAACTATATCAAGAATGAAAAATCTTCGAAGTCTTTTACCATTGTAACTAACTGTTCTTTGGTAGGTCTATTTACTAAAAACCAGTCTACTTCTAATTTCCATCACTGTGTCCCATTTTTGTATCTATATTAAAAAGATTTAACGTCATTGTTGCTATCTTTGTTTTCATTCATTTCTTTTCTTTCTGTTTAGTCTCAGTTGGATGAAGCTATTTCATCTGCAACCAAGAAGCTCAAGAACCTCTGACGTAAGCTGGCATCACGTGACAAATTCGCGCATGCGCAACAAAAATACTGTGGACATCTCTCCAAAAGCTAGGAATTTTTTTCAATGGTCAATAGTCATGATATGACCCAGTGAATGTAACATAGGAATTGATAAATGTAATTTTGTTTTGAGAAAATGGCTRAAAATAACTGCGTTATTATCATGTTGAGTTCTCAATGAAATCTTAATAGGGGTTGCCTGATTATAACAGTAGACGCTAAGAATATTACATTACCATCCACTATGTGCAAGTATTTATGTATAAGATTGTAATTACAACATATGCACTAAGATATATTAGGAGATTTTACAGCAACCAATTGTATATGCACTTTTCTGATTACCTGCGTTTCTTTTGCTCGCTTCACGTTCAACCAAAGATTAATAAAAATATTTTATTGTACAACTGTCTGCAGTTTTTCGTTTTTAATACTAACTTAAAAGTTAAAATAGCTATTTAATTAGGCTTGTATTCTGTCGCAGAAAAGAACGTCTAACCGTCCCTTGAGGAAAAAAGCTTTCATTTTGCAATTGCACAATGATCTCCAGCTGTTATTTTTGAGGTAGGTTTTACAGATATCCAATTTAAGTCAATATAACGACTTATCCTACTTAACAGTGTTAGGTGATCAGTCAGTTTGTCAATCAAATTGAGCCATCAATCAAGTTTAGCCATCATTGTTTCAGTTTACGAGTTGTTTTTTTTTTTTTTTTTAATTCGGGTTGTGCTCGCAACATCAGTTTGTCATCATTGTTTTAGTTTACGAGTTTTTAAAAATTCGGATTGTTTTCCCGGTGCGCGCATGATTTTCCGTGACTTATCCTTACCTCAAAACAGCGAAGTATTCTTTGAATATCCCCATTTGCTTAGAATTCTGTCCTTACAAGTCAAAGTTGTGCCATACATTGGTACAATTCAGACGACGTCAAATTTGTGACTTCACACT